CGGTTCCGCTCTCCTCCCTCGCCGCATCCTGCTGGCTGCCTCATGACAAAGACATCCGTGCAGAAGACCAGCAAATAGGGTGACAGCCTTTAAGACGACAACCGTTTTTAATTGGACTTTAAGACGACGCTACGCAATTCCAGCGTAGTTTTGAGAAAATCAAACCGCTGAAATTCGAACTGCTCGCTTTACATGTAATAACGCTTATTTGTCGTCCCAAAGTCTTCTCGTCTTTATGGCCTGTCGTTTTATTTACATAGCATCACCCATGCAATATGAAAATTGAATGCATTGCAAACTCCATCCGTACCAAATTCAATTTACTGAAAGCAATAAATTGTTCCAGCGAGGTCAGCTGCCGCTGAAAAGTGACCACTGATTGGTAAAAATTAGTTCCAAGGGCATATGTTGTCACTCCAAAAGTGACAGACAACAGCTATTTTTTTCGAAGCTTTTTGGCATGCTTGTTCTACAACAAAAGTTTGGTTTGTAATATCAAAAAATGCTTTAAATAGTATTAAAACTTAGTGACTCTTTGGGTCGTCAGGGGTTTGAATCTTGGATAAAAAAAAACTACAACCAAAACCCCGCGCGTTTCAAATTGCAGATGCTAAACCCCGCGTGTTTGGCAGAAACAATTTTAGCAAATCAGAGATAGACAATAATGAGTCATACAATTTAAAAGATCCAATGGAACTAAAAAGCTTTTATTTTATAACGCATTCCAGCATCAAGAATCAGCAATTTTGTTACCCATTTTTCTGTGAAAAACCAGAGAAAAAGTTTGGATTGTCCATGAAAGTCGAATTATAAAGTGATCACTTCGAACCGGGAAAGCAGCTTCAAAATTTTACCAAACTGTGACAGAAAAGAAGTATCGGCAGATCAAAAGATTTAGTGCAAAATTGCAGATAATTTTTTGCTGTAATTGAGTCTGTGAGTCTTTTTTTTATCACTGCAGCAAAAAATACTTCTATAACACTTAAAATAATTTGTTTATTGTATCTCAGAAAAGTTGTACTTTTCATCAGGTGGTAAATTTAAAACAGCAAAACTTTTTGTTCCGACTCTCGAAGAAACTGATTGATATTGATGCGTTTTTTTTGGCGGAGTTTTTTCTTCACCTGGTCTCAAAAATGAATAAAATTTCAATTGAGACGCATTTGTCAAAAGCGTGAATTAAAAATTGCCTATTTAACCCTTTTCGTGATAATTACTGTGCTCAAAAATTTTTTTCTCAACCAAAATTTTCTACACGGAAAGCGGCAGTGTTGAATTAATCCGGCCTGAATAATGTTACCAGCTAGTTTGTCAAAGCTAATATATCACTAATATAACTTTTGAAATAAGTTCTTTGAATTTCAATCTTTATCAAATGGTGCGATAGATTTTCAAAATCTGTCATAATCAATTAAAAAAACAATACGCAAATGATCAGAACAAAAAATCATCCTGATACTGAATTCTTGAGTTTTTTCAAAAAAAAAAAACATTTATATATTGAACGGTGTAAAAAATAATGAAAACAAGACTACTCGTATCAGCGTATTAGGGCGACGCCCTGAACGTTGCGACTGCTTTTAAGGTTTATGGAGCAGTAATAAGTTTTAAAAAATTAACTGTAATAAAACAAAATGAAAAATTTTTTTTTTTCGAAAATTTGAAATTTTAAGTGAAAAACCTCTTCCCACAAGCCACAAAAAGTACAAAAGGATAGATTTAGCTCCTTGTAACAAATCAATTATGGCGAATAAGCTTCTTTCAACCAAGTTGGAACAATTTCTAAGACGGATTAAATCTCCGCTTACGCGTTAATATCGCGAAATATATCGCGCAATAATTGTCCCCAATTTGCCAAAATGGCAACCTTTAAACCCCCATAGCTTTACAAAAAATAATCACAGGTGAAATATCTTTTCAAATTTGAGCTCAAGACAACAATACCTTTCGAATGATATAAAAAAATCTGTCAAAAGTGGCTAGTCAAAAAGTCGAAATTTGTCTGAAGAAAAAAAACCCACACCGAGCGCAAATATTCCGTTACTTTCGTATCGAAAGTCAGAACAAGAAAATGGCGCTCAAAATCTTAGGGTTGCTCACCCGATAATGAACGTATCAGCGTATCAGGGCAAAGCCCTGAACGTTCCGACTGCTTTTAAGGTTTATGGAGCAGTAATAAGTTTAAAAATTTAACTGTAATAAAACAAAATTAAAAGTTTTTTTTCGAAGATTTGACATTTTAAATGAAAAACCTCCCTCCACACGCCATAAAAAATACAAAAGGATAGATTTTGCTCCTTGTAAGAATTCCATTATGGCGAATAAGCTTCTTTGAACCATCAACTTGGAAAGATTTATAAGACGGATTAAATCTCCGCTTACGAGTTAATTGCGCGAAAGATATCGCGCGTTAAATGTCCCAAATGGCAATCCTTAAACCCACTTAAATTTACAAAAAATGATCACATAAAAAAATTCAGTCAAAAATGATTAGTTAAAAAGTCGAATATTGTGTGAATGAAAAAACCCACCCCGAGCACAATTATCCGTTACTTTCGTATCAAAGGTCGGAACAATAAAATGATAATCGTTCAAACAAACTGTTTTAATAATTGACCTTTCATGCAACTTTCAAAGTACACGGGACGCTTAATCCCAAAAAGAAAATTAAATGGCATGCAGTCTTTGTTGTTTTTGAGAACTTTCTGCATAAAAAAATTTTTATGCGAATTTTTACTAATTTTACAAGGAAAGGTAACTTTTTCTAGAACTTAACTTCAAATTTGATAAATCATTAGGTGTACTGTATTTAGCTCAGATAGAGCATTTAACTGTTGGTCCAGTTTTTGAAGAAAAGGACCGACGTTTTTTCTCCAATCAAAGCTCGATTTCGACAACATCTATTTATATCATCTAAACGCAGCTCAAGATCTGAGCTCCAAGCTAAAAAACAGTTTTCGTCAGTTTCTTTTTTGAAGGTAGGTTTGAAAAATGTCAAATTAGCGAATTTGGGATAGTAATTGCGCGAAATATAACGTGCGTTTTAAGCGTGAGCTGCGACTTGAACCAACCCAAATTGAATTCAAGGCAAGATTTTGCTATTATTTTTACGTTACCTCTATCAAAATTGATCAGCTTGTATTTCTCATAACACATGTGAAGTGAAAATTTTACAAGATGAACAGTCAGTGCTTCGTCCTGACACAGGCATTCTTAGTTTTTTTTTTCATTTACCGCCAGAATATCTAAAGATCATACCAAGATCCAAAATACAAATTCCATTTTAGCAAAACCACAACAAACAGAAGCCATTTGATAAAACACCGAAAAAAATCAGATCAATTGTTTTGCAAGGGTTGTAATTTCAACATCAAAAACAGCAAGACCGCTCGTGTCGGGGCAAAATACTGAATAGTTTAATTTAAAATAAATGATGAAATAAAAAAGAAATTGAAAAACTTCAATTTTTTTGGAATTTTTTTTTGAAAATCACCGCCGCACCAATCACGAATAATAATATTTCTTGCATTCAGCAAATTATCAAATAGACCAAAGAGCATGCATCAATCAAATTTTCATCGATTTTTAAGACGGATTATATTTCCACTGACGCGTTAATAGCACCAAATATATCGCGCATTAATTGTCGCAAATTGGCCAAATTGGTAATCTTTAAACCCCATAGCCTTAAACAAATGATCAAAGGTGAAAAAAAATTTTTTTTTGAGCTCAAGATAACAATATATATATAAAATTTTGTCAAAGTTTGCTAGTTAAAAAGTCGAAACTCTCTGGAGAACGAAAACACCCCGAGCACAAACATTCCGTCATTTTTTTTGCAAATAGTCGAAACAGTAATTTTTTTCACGGTGCAGTCCAATTGTGAGATTGATTTTAACTTGGTTCAAATGTTCAGCTAGTCAGAACTTGGGAGCATTTCCGGTAAACTATGCGGCGCCTCGCAAACCGTGGTAGTTCAATAAAATGGTGTTTAGCTTGCACAAAACGGGCAGTCCAGATCATAAACCAAAACTTTACTAGGTCAAAGAAATTATTGGGCGTAAATTTGGTACATTATGGTGCTATTCGAGGAGCATTTGGTCAACTTGGAGCTTTTTACGCAAAACTATGTCAAAAGTTCATTTTTTTGCCGTAATATTCAAGGTTAAATTAAATAATTATTGCATTTAGCTTACAATTGTCACATTTGATACCAACATTGCTCTAGGCAGCTTGTTTTGATTCAGTTTACTGCGAAAAGCTCTTATTCAAATCGAAATGTCAGTTTTTTTAGCGTATTTTTTTAAAATAAAAACTGTTAAATTGTTATCTATAATACTTTAAATTTATCGCTTAAAGCTAATTCATTAAAATTTTCTGCTTTTTAAGCCTACTTCTACTATTTCTGCTGACTTCAGCTGATAGCAAATTTTTTTGGGCTTGCTTTGCTGGCAGCTGTTACGCAAGTTTCATTTTCGGAACAATATGGCTGCTGTTATTTCAGGTCACTGAATGTTGGATTGCCCCCTTAATTGGTCTTGAATAGCTCTTGGTAATAAGGATTGAAAACGCGTAAAGTTTGGACAAAACAAAGATGAAAAGTTGAGGAGTATGAAATGGATAAGAATAATGAACTTGCCTCAATTTGTTATTGAACATTTTGTTGTGCATGATTTTTTCCACAAATGAATAATTCGCAAAACGGTTTCAGTATCATAAATAAAACTTTTGCATTGCGAATGAATTAGTCCAGAGTATGGCTAAACTGGCAACTTTAAAATCCCCAGATCCTTAAAAGAATCTAAGATAACATATCTTTTTTCTTTCGAACGCAGGGTGTCGATATTTTCAAGGGGGCATAAATCGTTTCCGTTACAAAACATCATTTCGATCTCAGAAATTTAACTGAACAAAAAACTACACCAAGCATAAATTATTCGCATTCCTTCGAGTGTCAAATCAATATAATTCTCTTAGTAAGATTTGAAACTGACTGTAGTTCGTTTGAATTATCGAGAGTAGTTTGAACTCTGATTGTTTAACCATGAGCTCAGTGCTTATAACTTTTTGTAATAAATTATTCCTGGGGTTTCTATTAAATTTTCATCTATTTCATTGTCATTCCGATATAGTCGTCAACTCTTCAATCTCTAGCTACCATTCGACTTCCCTCGTTTTTATAATCCCACTACCAATTTCGAGTCGCGATTTTTGGACCGAGCGACATGCCGAAATATGCCGATCGCTCAGACGTGTGTATTGTTTGTACTCGTATCAAACTAACGACCAGATTGAGAACCCAGCTGTCTCATATCGAAGTCCAGGCAATACAGTTTACTGCTTCCCTATTTTCTCATTGGGAAAATTGGTAAGCGACAGTTGTCCCCAAAAAGATATATACAGCAGCTACCTTTGTTGATTTTCTCCGCTTCGCTTCAAATATATGCAACCCTTTTTCTTTTTTCGTTCTGTTCAAGAAAGGAAAACTTTTGTACTTAAACAGTCGGGGGCCGGATCTAGGGTTTCCTGGAAGGGATATATTCTAAAACCTTTCAGTAATTTTGCCGCCCTTTTTTGGTCGGCCAAATTGATGTTCCGATCTCTCTCAAATCACAAAAGTTGCTATTTTGACCCAATTTTCCCAATTTGGTTCGACCCACAGGTACCTTTCTCTTAAGTTTTTTTGGTACTTTTACAAAGTTTCGACCAAAGTTTTTTTCGGCGAGTGCTCTCTCTCAAAACTACTCATCCGAAAATGACTATCTCTAGTTATACCAAAAGGGGAGACCCTTTGGGACGTCAGTGGGTCGAATCCTGAAGATGGGAGGAGGTGTCCAGACTCCCCTAATACCGCACCTTCATACAGTCATTTTGTGATAACCAACTTTGAATCACCTTTTGGAAAATAAAACATTGTCTGAACATTTTGGTCACTTGAAGAGTCGCGTAAAACTAATTATCATCTGAAATTTATATTTATGGTTATCTAGAGTAATTTTCCATAAACGCAAAAAAATGAATGGCACCAATCGCATCCTGGGATTATTTGTCCACCAAATATTTGCAGTCAAAACCTAAAAACTCTCTAATCAACTTTACTTTAAAATTTCATTGTTGAAAACAACCACAGTGGTCTGATTGTTTCTTTTTTTACAGAGTGCGTTTTTTGGGAAAAGTGGATATTTTCGGTAAACCGCCCCTCTCCAACTGATGAAAAATGAATCGATATTTTTGACAAAATTGAAACGAAAACACAAAGAAAAGCAGTATAATAATATGGGATTGGCCGAAACAAAGCAGCTATTTCAAACAAGCGTGGAATTATTTTCGTCGTTTTCTCTTTTTTTCGCCGTTTTCACATAATTTTCTGTAATATGAACTCAAATGTGTTTCATATTTTCAAGCTGATCCAACGCTCGAGATATCAACCCTGCATTTTTGCAAAAATTATTCCATGTTGTAAGTGAATTGTTCGATTTTTGTTATTTATCAATTAGGAGAAAGAGTTATATAGACCCGCCGATGGCTTTTGTATTAAAAATTACCATTCTCAAAATGGTTTTTTAAACTTGTCAATATCATTATTCAATTACTTATGCCTCAAAAACGCAGACTATTTTGTACTAGTTTCATAGCAAATGATTACGCTGGTTTTTGTTTTGACTTTGGAAGAAAGTGTGGAGTATTTATGCTTTGGGTATTTGTTTTCAGTCAATTTTTGAAAATTGCTAACTTGACCAATTTTGGATAATTAACGAGCATTATATTGCGTTCTTTTAGTTTACTCGGAGTCAGCAATTAGGTCCTAATAAAATATCACGAGACGATGAACACGCCATTTGTATTTTTTATAACGTCCTGGGTGATAAAACAAAGAAAAAATTGAAAATTGTTTCTTTTGTTTATTTGTCAATTATTTAATTAAATTTTTTTTAATTGGTCATAAAGCGCGGCTAGAAAATTCAGTGGTGGGCCCTGATATACGATAGATCTTGTTGTGAGTTAGTGATTGAGAAAAGCAGTGTGGTGACTTGTCAGATTGTCAAAAAAATACTGTATCGAAATTATAGTGAGTCAATCTGCCGATATTTGGAATACTGTTTGATTTGGTTGGCTGCATCTTTTCAACCACTAAAGCAGTGCTGCTAGTGCAAAGTTTTGTAATGTCTTCCTCCGGCAGTTTTGCGGCTTAACTCTAAGTTTTGTTTCCATATGACAAAATGTAAGAATGGTGTACTGCAAGAAATATGATTTCTGCAAAAAAGATATTGAACTGCAAAAAACATGCAGTCTTTTTGATTTAATCTAAGCTAACATCAAAATCAATATTTTCTCCTAATAAACAAACAAAAAAACCTTGTAAAATGTTTCTGATATCCTCCAACGACGCAATCGTACATGGAAATAGCTAGAACCGACACACATTTATTACACGCAAACTTATAAAAACCAGTGTTTGAACTTTTGCCTTTTGCCACAGCCTCAAGCACGCTGGGCCCCAAACATCCGACCTCTAGATTTTGATGCGGGTAAAAATAACCAATTCAGAACTAAATTTATATACATTAGCGGCGAGATAGTTTCTTGAACCTTTGATATCAGTAGATTATATGTGAAAACTTTTCAATTTGTTAACAAATCAAAAGAGCCCCGGCATAGAGTGACGCACTTTGAAATTTTTGAGCTATTCTGACCATTCATTAACTCAATTAAAGTTCTGAATCAGCAGAGCGTGACCTAGACTTAAATTGGCCAAACTCGTTTGATCGATTGAAAGTTTAAAATGGAACCTGATCTAAACTATATTTTATGATTGGATAAATTAGATATTTTACCACTGTAAAGTATTTAATATTAACCAATCATGATCCATCTAACTAACAACCCACTTATTTGTAAGTGCTGAAATTACTTGTAATTTCAGCACCAGAGAGATTTGAATTTAACTTAGAAATTAGTTGTCTCTCCGAGAGAACTTCAGCAGCCGCAACAAACCAGTATACCCCAGATCTATTGAGCCTAGCAGAGACTAGTTAAGCACCCTGAGACTAGTAAGTATAAGAGTAAGATTAGGATCGGTATTAGACTAAGAAGTTGCACGAATCTATCCGGCCGAAAATAAGATAGCGTGACGAGCAGACGGTGTACCCTATCCGAAATTACTCTATGAGTTAACAACATCGGTCCTAACTCATCTGGTGCGACCATAAGTCTCGAAAAGACCTGAATAGCTTAGGTTTAACCAAAAATAGATTAGAATTTAGACAAAACATTTTTAAAATGTTATACGACGATAATTTAATCGAAATGTCTCTACGACTCAATAGATCAGAGCCGATATTCCGAACGATAGCAGAACTACCCGGAATCGCAAGAAGACCTCGAACAAGAGACGACATACGACAAAGTAGAAACTTACCATATAGTTATATGATTGTACGGCAAAAGCCAACACAAACTTTTATATTTAGAATCCTATTAGCAATGAATTTAGATTTTCATTTGCAAACATAAAATTTTGAAGTCAAAACTTCATGATCATTACAGGCGCTAAACAAGATTATTAATTTACAATAACGATTGATAAAAAGATCTCAGATCGTTTTCTTAAATTCTGCAGTCTTATATAAAACATGTTTGGAAAATATTTATTGAAAATAAAAACAAAAATTAGTAGAATGACAATACATTGTTAGTAATCATAAAATCATTTGTTGTCCCAGCTTCATCACCTAGACATAACAGCAATCATAAGCTCACTAATATCATTAAAAAACTAAATCTTTTTCTTAAATAAATTCCAACCATTTTAAAGTTAAATTCACTTAATTTTAAAACCAGATCATCAAGGCTTATCCTTGGATCTTAATTAATTTTCTATTTCACTAAATTTAAAACTTGATCATCAAGGCCAATCCTTGGATCAAAAAGAACAATTTTGTTCTCCCCCACCCACTTAGCAAGTGTCTAACGACCTCAAATGTCGATTCACTATCCAATCCTTCCAAAAAACCCAAGACTAATAGAAATTTTTCAACAAAACTAACCATTCAAATTAGGATAAACAGTGAAGAACTTCGGTTATTCATCCTTCACTTGAACCCTCCTCTTACCTTAACAGTTTAAGAAAAGTAGACATCATCTAACAACTTTTTGCATCCCTCATCCTAAACCTTATGTCATTCAAAAATCTAGGAAATAAACAAACAATCGTTTTACAAAATTGCGAAATAGATAACAAAAAAGACGATCTTGTAATCACACCTCATACACAAACAGTTGGAAACATCAGAACAAAACGACTAACAATTAAAAGAAAATAATAAACAAACAAAGACAAATCACACGAAAAAGATTTTCAAAAAATAGAAACGCATTTTCAGAATCAGAAGCCAGCAATTTAGATGAACTCTATAAATTAAAAGAATCGATTGACAAAAATTGTCCTATCCACAATCAATTATATTTTTCCGACTCAGAAACAACTTCAAATTCATCAAAAAGAGGAAAAAGAAGAATAAAAAAACAATATAAACACAAACCAGTACACTTGTATAATTGGAATCAACCAATTAGGCACATCGATAGTTATATATTAACAGTCATTAAACGAAAAAATGAGCCACAGCCACACTCAAAGTGACGAAAGTCCAGATGACGAAGAAGTTTACCCCTTCCTCGTAGATGCACCCAATGATAGAGGGCAGCATATATTTTGCAAGAATTTACTCCTAAATTTGTTTGAACCCGGAATCAGTCCATGCAAAGCAGAATTCCCAGATGTAAAAATCAAAAGACAAATTATTGAAAATTATCTGAAAGATATATGTAATTTAACACAACAATACGAAATCTACACCATAGAATTCAGCACACCAAATCCGAATCATCGCAAATATGTAATTCAAACAGACGATCTTGAATTAGAATTTTCAAAAATATTCTTAGAATATACTAAAAGCATACAATACCATAACTCACAAAGAGCAAATTCTATATTCACTAACGAAGTCTTTGCAATAATATATAGCTACATTTCAATATTAGAAAAAACAGAAATTCAAAGTATCTCACCAACTGAGACATCCAAACATATAAAAGTACGAAATAAAATTACATTATTTTCAACTTTTCTACATATAATCAAAGAAAATTTCACTAAAGACGATGTTTCACAACACACAAAACATGATTTACAAAAAATTTTGGCATGGTTTATAATAGATTATTTCACACATAATATAGACTTAATTTCACAAGCAAGAAAAAATTTTAGACCTCAAAATCCAAACGATGATACTGCCATCACAGAACAGTAAGATTA